TCTTTCCCCTAAAGGACTTTTCACCTTTCTTTCTTACATAAAGCTGCCTTCGTGTTTTGACTCCAAGATTAAAATATTGTATCTCTATTTCAGACATCCAAGGATTCAAATTTTAGGACTCAAGGCTGCTCTCAGGTTGTGCTCAGAGCTCTCATTCATTTCTATATTATTTGTATTACTTTTTAAGCCTCAAGTACGTGACTGATTTGAAAATATATGTGGCATTCAACAAAACGGAGTATTCCAGCCGTTCTTGTTTTGGGTGATTCAAGTAAGTGGACAGCTAACAAAACATGTACTTGCTGACGTTTATGTCAGGACAGTTTCTGTAACACCAGTGAATGGCAGGGATGGTCAGATAAGAGTTGTAGCTGATTGGCTTATACATTGGGATCAGGTTACATAAAAGGAAGCTGCAGTAGAATTGGGAACCTTAATAGAGCATATTCCTAGGGAACGTAACTCTGCTTTATTAGATTCTGGAGCCATGAGTGGGTGTCCATTTTGGGGGAACAAATACCAGTGAGTATATTTTTGCTATTTATTCTATTATATCAATTAAAAAAAGTAAATATCAGGTAAAACTCTTTAAAATATCAGGTAAAATATCAGCTAAAATTCCCAATATACATATTGACTATCAAAGTATGAAGTAATTGTGTAGACTATCCTCTGTGAAGAAAAGCTAGCTACCTAAGAAATCTTTCAAGCGTTGGTTATTAGAAGGGACTCTATATTAACGTACCTAGATATTACAGGGATTGGCTACCTATTTTTGACATTTACAGCTACTTACTGTTCATTTTACTTATTATTTATATTTGAGAAACAGAGCTGCCAAAACAGAGCAGTATCTATATTTTAAGTGCGCTTATCCTCAATGCAACATGAGTTACCTGATATTTTCTCTTTTTCATTCAATCATTATATTCCTAGATTCAATTTTAATAAGCTCTCTTTGGAAGATGAGGGACAAGACAAGTCGCAAGACGGGCTGAACAAAGCCAGCAAAGGTGGGCTTATCTATGGAGACTATCTACAAGTAAGTGTGAACACTGGGTTTTGTTATTGCCCTGATGCCTGTAGTAACTTGAGATGTGACAAATAAGCACTTTTGTGCCCACTGTCAGCAAATGGCCAGTTACAGTTATCAAGTAAATCAGATGTCATCCCTGTTTTACTTCAGCTTTCCAGATATATTCACAAGCAGGTAATCTACCCCTCAGTGTGACATTACTAAATTCCCAGGTTTGTAGCCATGCACTTCCTTGTTAATATGAATGGGATGCTTACTTTTTTTTTAACTTGGTAGGAAAACAAGTTAATTTTATGGGGTTTTTGTCTTTTATTCTTTTTCTTAGACATTAAATAGTTTTAGTTCTTTATAGCTAAATTATAGGGTGAGCTAAATGGAGTTAGAGGGTTACACTGAGATGCATATAACACATCATTCTGTTAAATCATGGTAAAGCAGAATTAGCAATTTTTTTTAGCAAAGTTACCAAGAGGCAAATATTCAACACAGTGTGCAGCTACCATTGGTCATCGCATTGTGATTAAAGTCAATACCTGGACCCAGTTTTTTTCATTAGTTGCACTGATGCAAGCCAAAGTCAGTGGAGCTATATCTATATTTGTATGTGAAAAAGTAATTTATCCTCATATTTATATAATTTCATTAAAAAATTATTAAGAGAGATTGCAAAATCAAGCACTTAATCAAGAGTTGGGCAATTTCAGAACAAACACTAAATTAAGGTTGCACTGACCACCATCACCTTGTGCATGTGCATTATGATAGTCTAGGTGTACATGGTCATACAAAATTTTTCTTTAGGACCTCTGTCTTGCTGAGAATAGATTTCATTCACATGATTTGTTGAATACATTAGCTGTTTTACTTTCACATCTCTTCCTTTTCTTTTTGAATGAAAAAGCTGGTCCCAATGGTTTGGGGAACTAGACTGCTTGAAAGAACAGGGGAGGGTCTAAATGCCCATACTGGGCTAGATTTTTTCCACTCTTTCATATATTAGATTAATAGATGTTCAGATCTGAAGAGACTATTGTGATTATTTAGTCTGCTTTCCAGAATAACCAGTACCTTAAGGTTTTCCTGAATTAATTCCTCCTCCCAATGCTTTGGGAAACTTACAGAGTGCAGTTTCTAAAAATATCCAATTTGACTTAAATATATTGAGTAATGGAGAATCCACTATAACTAGGGACCTACCTAATTCACAGGGGCTGTCCCCTGATTTCATGGGCAAAACACAGGCTCGGGCAGTCATTTTATGGGTGGAGAGCATTGCATTGGCTGAGGGGTCCTGTGGCCCTACCCCTTTCTGCTGATTGTTGGCAGGGGTTGCCTGCCATGAGGCCCCACCCCCTGTTGCTGATTGGCTGTAAGTGCTTTCCAGCATGCAGCCCTGCCCCTTGTCACTGATTGGTGGAGAGGGGCAGGGCCACATGACAGGCAATCCTTGCAACCAATCAGCAGTGATGGGCAGAGTTGGCAGCCATCTTGCCAGCATCTTTGAACAGGCAGCCACCCCCCTCCCCTACCCTGACAAACTGCCACAGTGCTCAACAAGTACCCTACCATGGATTTCACAGGCAATGCAAGATTTCATGGAATCCATGAAATCCAAAAAATCATGTGTTTGGTAGGTCTCTAACCATAACTTCTGGTAAATTGCTCCATTGGTTACTTACCTTCACTGAGAAATAAATTACACCAGGAAAACCCATTAGCTCTTGTTCTACTTTTGTCTCCTGGGTTGTGTTACCTTCTACTATCAAATATCTTGACTCCATATTTGGGAACCTTTGGTAGACTGAAAGAACAATCATCTTAACCTTCTCTTTGATAAGCTAAGAAGATTGAAGTTCTAAAGTTACCTAGTAAAAGTGATGTTTCCCAAATAAAACTTTACTTTGCAAGCAGTCCCAGAGTGGTTGGAAGAATCTATCAATGTGTCTTTTTAAAAAACTTAAATGTTCTGTTCCTAAACATAAGCAATAATGAAACTCCAGTTAAAATTCAAAATGAATAAATTGCAAGTGAAGACCTGAATATTCTTATAAAACTCGTTTCAATTTCTTTGAGGGGAAAACTGTTTAAAATCAATACCAGAGTACTTGGATGATAACAGGCTTTTTTTTCCAGCTGGACAAAATATTGAATGCCCAAGAGCTTCAGAGTGAAAAAAAAGGAAATAAAATCCATGATGAGCATCTTTTTATTGTGACCCATCAAGGTAAGCTGCAAGAGAGAGAGACTATTGCTATGCAGCATAATTTTGCTACATCCTTTATTTGATGCTGATATATTCCATATAAAACTTATTCTGCATTTCAGATGCAGTTATTCATTCTTAAATAAATGCAAGCTTTTGCATCCACTCACTTACCAATGTTTTTATGCTTACATGTGTATCTCTACATCATCAGGGTAGTGGACTGACACTGTCAAGGTGTGGTGGTTTGGGGTAGACATCCATGCTGATCAGGCCAGGACCCTGGATTCAAGACTGCAGTCCTGACAAGGTTTCAGTGATGCAGTGGTTATCATGTTTGCCTTACATGCAAAAGTTTGAAACCAGGCAGAAAGAGCTAATGTTGGAAAGTGCAATGGGAGACCAACCTGGCTACACAGTGACCTCTTGAATGAGTTGAAACTCAAAAAGAATTCTATAAAATGTGAAAACTTGATCAGAGGATTAGGGAACAGCATTAGAATCTCTCATGGGCATGCAGGGAGAAAATTAGGAATGCCAAAGTATGATTTGAAGCTGGCAAGGGACAAAAAAGGGTAATAAAAGGCATTCTAAAAGTATGTCAAAAGTAAGAGGAAGACCAGAGAAACCATAGGTACCTTACAGAATGCAGAAGTCAATCTAGTTACAAATGATGCAGAGAAGGCTGAGGTATTTATTTCATTTTTACTTCAGTCTTCACAAATAGGAACAGCTACCAGGTGATAGGGAAGGAGACAAATAGCCTCATAGAAGGAGAACAAGCTAGGGATTACTTAGAGGGCCTAGATGCTTTTAAGTTGGCAGGGTTGGATGGGATGCTCCCTAAGGTACTGAAGAAATTGGCTGAGGTCATTTTAGAGCCAGTGGCTCCCCTCTTTGAGAACTCATTGAGGTTGGATAAGGTCTCAGGTGATTGGAAAAGGACAAATATAATGCCCATCTTGGATAAAGGGAACAAGAGGGTCCAGGGAACTACAGATCAGCCTGCCTGACCACTATACCTGGAAAGATCATGGTCCTCAAGGAATCTATTGTGAAGCACCTAGAGGAGAGCAAAGTAGTCAGGAACAGCCAGAATAGATTCTTTAAGAGCAAGTCATGCCTGACCAACCTGATTACCTTCTATGATAAGGTGACAGATTCTGTGGATGGGAGGAGAGCAGTGAATGTGATATACCTGGAGTTTAAGCAAGGCTTTTGACACTGTCTCCCATAACATTCTTATCAATAAGCTAAGGAAATACAGATTAGATGAAAGTATTATAAGTACTGTACTGTGCAACTGTTTAAATCATGATCATGTTCAATAGGGGTGTGTGGAATGGGCTGTATTGGATTCGGATTCAGCCCGAATCGGAGACAGTGATTTGATTTGTTGATTCAGATCACTGGCTCTGATTCAATTCAGCTGAATCCAAATCTGAAGATTTGATGCTGATTCAGAGAATCAGCGATTCGGCCATAGACACAGCTTTAAATATTTTTTCTACATAAATCGAGGTACCAGGCACGGCTTGTGAACGCTGTGATACTGGGGCGGATGGAGCGTCCCACAGGAGCATGGGAGGGCCCGCTGCATGCTCAGTGGTGAACCCAGAAATGGACTGGAAGTACTTCTGGTCCACTTCTGGGTCTGCTGCCAAGCACACAGCGGGGCCCCCTGCAGCCCCCTGGCTCAATGATCGACTACAGGGGGGGCCCAGGTGCCCCCCCAGACCCAGGAGGCACCTGTCACCGAGCCAGGGGGGCATGGGGGGGCCCCCAGCACGTTCCCCAATGGACTCAGAAGTGCTTCTGGTCCACTTCCAGGTCTGCTGCCGAGCATGCTGGGGAGCCCCCCATGCTCCTGTGGGACACTCCATCCTCCCCACCATCACAGCATTCATGAGATGCCTGGTACCTTGAGGTATGTAGAAAAAACATTTACATTTGTGTCTATATCCAAATCACTGAATCTTTCCGAATCAATTCAGAGTGTTCCGATTCGATTTGGAGAGATTAAAGGGTCTCCTGATTTGATTCGGACTTGGAGATTTGGCCACTGAATCAGGCCGAATCAGGGAACAAAGCTTTGCACCACCCTAATGTTTAATAAGCAGTCACCAATGGTCCAATGTCTAGTTTGGAGGAGGTATCAAGTATGGGTTCCTAGGGGTCTGTCCTGTGTCTGGTATTGTTTAGTATCTTAATTAATGCTTTGCATGATGGAACCAAGTCCATGATTGGCAAATTTGCAGTTGACATAAAGTTGGGTGGCACTGAAGACACTGTGAAAGGTAGGGCTCGGATCCAGAATGACTTGGATAGACTGGAGAAATGGTTTGCAATCAATAATATGACATTCAATAAAGATAATTGTGATGCCCTGCACTTCGGATGGAATAACTGCATGCACAGATACAGCCTGGGGAATGATTGGCTATGGAGCCGTACAGCAAAGAAAGATTTGGGGGTTACAGTAGACCATAAGCTGAAAAATGAGCCAACTGTATGCTCGTGTGAAAAAAAAGCTACCAGCATACTATGTTGTATTCACAGAAGTGTCACCTGCTAATCAAGGGAAGTGATTCTTTTGCTCTATTCGGCACTGGTGAGGCTCACCTGGAGTGCTATGTCTAGTTTTGGACCCCACACTTCTAGAAGGATGCAGACAGTTTGGAAAGAGTCCTGCACAGAACAATAAAAATGATAAGGAACCTAAGACACAAGACTTATGAGAAAAGACAGAGTTTCCCTCCAAACTCTTCCCCCAATCTTAGGGAGATGCAGCATTAATTTAAAATAAAAATTTAACAGTAAACAGGGAGATAACTGAACCTCCTAAAATTTTTTCCTAACTTCTTTTTGCAGACCTGTAACAATAACAAACTAAATGCTGTTTTTCTTATTGTAGCTTATGAGCTTTGGTTTAAGCAGATTCTATGGGAATTGGACTCCGTTCGAGTGATCTTTCAAAATGGCAAGGTAATTTATGTTCACATATTTTAACTAAGCAAATCTGAGTGTATTTTTAAATGTTTGAGTTGTACAACATTACATAAACCTGAAAAGTTGTGTTTTTAAGGCTGAAGTTCAGTTAAGTGACAACTGTTTATTGAAACTTTGATCTGTAAATCCATGTACTTTTCAAGGACTGTGTTTTCTACAGTGACTGATCCTCATGGATCGCTCATGGGCTAGGGACAAAAATTACACATAAGCCAGTATAAGTGATCAGAAACCGGTTCAAATCTGTAACACAACAGAAGCTCAGTGCACATAAACTGCTTTTAAAATGGCTGAAACCAGTTTAAGATAAACTTGGACGGATGTAGTATCAGACTCATAGACGACTGGTAGGGGGTGAATGGGGGTGCATGTGCCCCCCCCCCGATGGGGCTGGTGCCCCCCCGATGGCCAAAACTGATGCTGCCAGTAGGGCTGGTGCCCCCCCTGACAGGGCTGCCATTATCAGCGGCTTCTGCAGGTGCCCCCCCAGATTCAGGAGGCACCAGTCACTCATGATCAGACTCAACTTATTTAGGTTAAATCAGTTTATTTAACTTTTGTCCCAGATTCCCTCCAGATTCAAATTAATGTACAGTCTCCCAGTATCCCAAAATGCTTTGTACCTTCCTGGCAAACTGTGCTTCACTGGGTGGGTGGGCTAGCCTTGGCCCAAACTGTTTGCTCCAGCCGAGGAGGGAAGCATACTCTAGCACCCCCTGTTTCTGTCCCTTCCCCTACCCCACCCCCTCCTGAGTCACTGCAGGCATGTGACTGCTTTCAGGAATCAAAAGTGAATGTCTGTTTTCTTGTTTATCATTTTGATCTACACAGCTTAGACTTAACCTATAAAGATTGAATTAATTCAGCCTCATGCTTTTTGACTGTCTGTACTTAGCCCTGGACACACCATGTTGGCCAAACTACAAACACACACTGGCACCGCTATCTGTATGCATTGTGGATGCTAGCCTTGGGAATATTTTACTGCCAAAAAATGATTAGGAATAGGAACACGATTAAAATACATATACATATGTATATGGATAAGAGAGGATTCAAGGGATATTGATTCATTTTAATAAATTATTTAAGATTATATTTTTATTTTGAAAATATTCCTTCTAACTTTGAATGTTCTTTACAGTGTAGATTAAAATCTGCTTGGTAGCACTGAATGCTAGTATATATTTTTTCAAGTACTAGAAACAATAAGGAGAGCTGTCTTCAATGTATAGTTATGATATGACCAAATTTGAGAGGAAATATCAAAAAAAGAATAAATGATTTTATGATCTCTGAAAACAGCAGGTCTGAGAGGAATATTTTGAGCATTTATTGACAATTGTCAGATATGAAATAGACTCGTTGCATTATAAAGTGAAAAACTTTATCTTAAGCTTCCCTTGATATATTTTGTGAATAGAACAGCTGGTTAAATTGAACCTTTTAAGTCAGAGCTAGCACTTAAGGATTATTATATAGATTCATTGCACTGTTTAGAATTGGACCATGGAAAAAAAAATTGCCCAATATTTTTAACAAAAAAATAGTGCTGTTCAGTGAACTTCAATATGTTGATGGCATTCTGAAAATTAGAAAATGTTTACCAAAGCATTTACTCAAAGTAATGCACCTTGATTTGGATTCAGAGATTTGGTCCCTGAATCATGCCAAATCTTGTCTGAATCCAATTGGCTTCCAAAGCTTTGCACAGCCCTAATAGTTGCATACTATGATGAAGGGCATTTGGTATAAGCCTGAGGCAGAGATAGAGGGAGAATGTAAAGAAATATATTTTTTGCAATGTGGTTTTGATAGGTATTTCTTTTTTCTAATAAGATGAAAGATGAGAGGAACATGCTCAAGGTTGTTACGCGAATGCAGAGGATTTCAATGATCCTTAAGCTACTTGTGGAACAATTTTCAGTTCTGGAAACAATGACTGCCTTGGACTTCTTTGATTTCAGGTACCATTTATTACATACGTAATAAATCCATACTTACACAATTGCCTTCACTAGAGCTGACAATGGGGTTTGAACCCAGAGCCTGCACCATATAAATAGAAGGATTAAGGGAATATTTACATTACACACTGTAGTGTACTGTAGAAGTACCAGCCTAGCTCTACATGAACTTTGTGTTGCTATGGCTAAATTGTTTTTAGAACCCTAGGTCTATATTGAACATAAAAAAAAGCATCATCTAGAGCAGCATTTCACAGCCTGTAGGTTGTGATCCAAAGCAGGTTGCAAGAATATATGAAAGGGTCGTGGAGAAACTTTAAAAATGGATTCTCCTTTAATGGAGAAAAATGTGGAAAACCATGGCTCTTCCCTTGCAGGCTGGCAAGAGTTCCAGCTTGCAAGGGGCTGCTTTGGGCCCCCCATGCCCCACACACACACACCCTGCCCCACAACCCACCCCCTACCCCACACACTCGGGGGCTGGGGCCAGGGGGCGGGGGGGAGTGGGTCAGGAGTGAGAGGCACTGGGTTGGGACGGGCCATTGATGTTTACAAATAGATCCTGGTACAAAAAAGGTTGAGAACTGCTGGTCTAGAGATATACAAAGTGCTCAAAATGAGCTCAGGCACAGACAGAAGTGACAATTTTTGCCCAATCTGGCAATAGAAAGCAGCTTATAGCCATGACCAAACACAAATGCATGGCTGCTGACTGCTTAAAAAATGGCTTATCAGGAGGAAATCTGACCCCTCATTGCATGCGATCGGGGACTGCAACCAGGCAGGGAAACAATTAGGGGATGAGGGAGCGAATGGGGGCTGAGGGCAGGTGAGGGACACATGAGCCATGTGGGGGAGGGGGCATGTGGCCCCTGTTGAGAGAGGCTATGGCCCTGTCGGGGGAGCAGTCCATGAGCTGTGCAGGGGGCTGTGCCCTGCGGGGGGCAGGGACCCACCCCTTCTGAGCAGCCTCCCATATGCCCTCCCTTAGTTCCCCCACAATCCATCCACAAACCCCACACCCTCAAGCCACCCCCACAAACCCCTCACCCACATACCTGGCCCTGTGAGTCAAGAATGAGGGGACTGGGGTGAGGGGCAGGCTGTGGGTTAAGAGTGAGGGGTAAGGGCAGGGGCAGGGCACTGACATATCAGTGCTGCTCAGTGCTGCACATTTTGGTGAGCAATGGGGGTAGGTGTGGCTCTGATTTTTCAATGACAAAAAAGTCAAAAGTCACTGCCAAACTGCATAGATATTTAGAATGTATTTTATTATGAAGATGGAGGCACTGGTAGACTTCCAAATTGCTTTAAAATTGTAAATATATCAATAAAACATTGCTCAACTGATTTGATCTCTCTCTTTCTCTGTATATATGTGTCTAGTGTTCTTTTGTTTTACTTGTGGAAGAACATGGATGTTGGTGTATTTAAAAGAGTGACTTTGGGATTTTTTTTATCAGGGATTTTGCAGTTTTTAAAAAGGCAACACCAGAATTCCTGCTAGTGAGGCAAGTGGCAGGTACCAGGCAGAGGAGCCTGCTTAGGGATGGCACCTAGGACCCAGCTGGAGGTGGCTGACCTCCCAGCCACTTGGGGCCAGGAGGACATGCTTTCTCAGTTCAAAGCAGGCCATGACCCTGAAAACATCTTCTGGGCAATAGCTGCCCAGATGGTCAGGCAGTGGCAGACATGGCAGTAGTGCTGCACAAAAGCCATCTGGGCTGCCACAGCCCACTGGCAGCTGGCCCAGAGGTGTAGATGCCTCTAACGTCCATGCAGTCTCCATCTGGGTCTGGCAGGTATGCAGTCTTGGGGCCACATGCCGTCGCAAATGGCAGCAGATCACAGCCAGGCAGCAGCCCCTACTGCCAGTCTGCTGCAGTGGGTAGAGGGTGCAGGGAACACTCAGGACTGCTTCAGCAGTCCAGCTGGCACAAGGGGTAGTGTCCCCAGGTACCAATTGGCCAGGGCCCAGAAGCTCCTGAGAGTGAGTAGCCCTGAGCTTCTTGCCAGGGCAGCTTTTTATACTGTTGGGGCTAGCACATGGTAGGTTTTTATACTGCTGGGGCCAGCACAGGTGCTGGCCCAGGCTCTAGCTCTCCCTGGCTGCAGATCTAGGAGAAGCCAGGAAGGGTTATTTTGCCCCAAGTGGCACAATTTGCCCCACACCAAAGTGCATGTCCGGCATGTGCACTGAGGCAAAAAGCCCCAGCTCAAATTTGCACTGCTTCTATTTGAGCTGCTGCAAGTGCACGTGCCTGCATGTGTGGACGTGCCCCTGAGATTCTGACTAGTTATTATAGTAAAACTTTAATACCTTTCAATAAATGGAGTGAAACATAAATGGGTTAATCATCTGGGGCGGGGGGGG